GAAAGAGTATGATGAAAACCACTATGTATGTACAAATACAGTATACATATGTATGTTGATCTACAAATTCGACATATATGCTTTACAGATGTATGTATATATATAGTATCACATGTATATTCTATATTCTATATACATACTTCATACTTCTGGTCTACATATGTACATATATACATACATATACATATACATGTTCTGGATAAATGTCTAGGTGGTCATGATGGTCATGTTTACAGATACGCATATCCTTCTTTCATCCTGTTCCCCAACACTGTCAGGACACCCAGCGTGCTGGAAGGTATGATCCAATATGTCCAGTGCCCAACGGATGTGAACCACTGACTTTCTGCAGCTCCACCGTGAAACGTCCTGAGGCTCTGTAATCATTTAGACTGATATATGTGTATATATATATATATTATATTACATATTCATATCGATAATATCATATATTGTTTTCTTTCTATCCGATGTTTCTCTTTATTTCTTCTCTCGCCGTTTCAAATCCGGCCCGGTCCCGGCGTCCTGCATGGGGAATCTCCACCAACGCCACGTTGCTGGAGCTGAGCCATGCAACGTGGGAGGAACGCCAGGAATGCCCCACCTGATGCTTGGTGAAAATTGGGTTATGGATGTTAAACTGTTATGGTTCAAAAATGTTCAAAACCGAAAGTAGCTGGTGTTTATTCCCTCAAATATGGTAATTTAATAATAGGTTTTGGCCCATCCCCATCTTGCTATTAGTAAGATTAACTTAAGTAAAGTCGCAAAAACTGAAAAGCATACTCCCTTTTGGGATTCCTCAAGTGGTGGATTTCCCATCGATTGCCCAAGTACTGGATTTCCCAGTGGGGGAAAACCACCTTCAGCAACTCGAAGTTAACGGTTTTTTTCATACTTTACTACGAGTTAATCAGTTAATTGTTGATTATTGGTTAATGGCAAATGTTGCCAAAACATCTCAAAACTCAATATATTGGAATGGCTAAACTAGCAACGATATATCGAAACCTCCAGGATCATGGTTTCGGGGTTGATCCTGTCCCATTTTGTTCTTGCTATCCCCATTGCTGGATATATCAATATATGATATGAATATGTGTGTTTGCATTTGTGCAGACAAAATTAACTAGAGAATTACATAAAATCACATTAACATACATTAAAGAATACTAAAGACATGCCAATCTTCCAATGTCCAATTTTTTCACCCAACTTGCCCATCTACTGACATGGCCAAGACTCTGTGAGATGGAAGCGGCTGGGCCCCAGAGTGCTCCAAACCATCCCAAAACGCAGAGCTTCAGTGGCCTGCCAAGCTGAGCGCCGAATTGCCGTGACACTCTAAAATGACCAGCTTTGGGGAGAAATTCCATATGCCCAAGTCTCCAGTACTGGACACTCCACTTTTTCTAGACATCCCCTCATGGTGTTCAAAAATGTCCTCAGGAGGTCACCTGACTTGGCCTGGACATCAAAGGTCACCGCCGTACATGGCCAGTCTGCTTCTCTTCTCCCATCCTCTGCCAGCCACCGTCCTGGGCAATCTTCAAGCCCATGGCCACAACTTCTGGGGGCATCGAGGCCCGGTGCATTTCGTATCATTTTTTTTTATTTTCTGAAGATCCCCAACATCCCCTAACTACTCAGACAGCTCAGCTTGATCTGGGTCTCAACATGTCTCAACCGCTGTCCGCACCTTGATAGACGAAGGCTGAGTAAGCAGGTAAGACCTCGCAAGGAGAGATGTGCATGCCTGAAAATGGGGCATATGTTCACTTTATACGGCACTGTAATGGAAATTGTTAAACTCATCAACCAGTATTTTCGGGTAAACCCATACATGCTGCTACCTGGCCGTGCCAAGGATCCAGTAGAAGACAAACAGTTTTGCGGATCCAGTTGTTTCTGTGATACTGGCTGGTGGTTTCAAGCCATCTCAGAAGTACGAAAGTCAACTGGGATCATCATTACCAGGTAAGATAGAGAACCAAAAATACGACCAGAAACTTCCCCTGATGTTCGATCGTTTCATCCTCTGGAAAAGCCTGGAGTCACAGAAACACTACGAAGAATTCCAAGAACATCCTTCCCTGATTGCGAACAGACATGTGCACTCGGTGGTATCCTGAATACTATGAGTATATATGAATCCGCCGGCCTGCCGGCGTGTCTGATTGGAAGGTGTTGTTCTTGTTTCTGTTCTTGGTTTGTACTTGTTCCCTTGTTCTCTTGCTGCGCGTTTTTGCTTCGTCTGAATCAAATGCACCCCTCCCCCACCACCTACTCCTCCTCCTCATCCTCCTACTACTACTGCTACAACACCTACTTCTACTACTATTACTGCTGCTGCTGCTGCTACTGCTACTGCTACTGCTACGGCTACTGCTACTGCTTCTGCTACTGCTTCTGCTATTGCTACTACTACTGCTGCTACTACTACAACAACAACTACTACTACAACAACAACTACTACTCCTCCTCCTCCTACTAGTCCTACTAGTCCTACTAGTCCTACTAGTCCTACTAGTCCCACTAGTCCTCCTACTACTCCTCCTCCTACCACTACGACTAGGACTAGGACTACGACGACGACGACTACTACACCTACTACACCTACTACACCTACTACACCTACTACACCTACTACACCTACTACACCTACTACACCTGCTACACCTACTACGCCTACTACTACTCCTACTCCTACTTCTGGTACTTCTGGTACTTCTGGTCCTTCTGGTACTTCTGGTACTTCTGGTACTTCTGGTACTTCTGGTACTTCTGGTACTTCTGGTACTTCTGGTACTTCTGGTACTTCTGGTACTACTACTACTACTGCTACTACTACTACTACTACTACCACTACTACTATTTACTACTCCTTCTCCTCCCACTCTAATCACTACTACTACTGCGGCTGCTACTACTACTACTACAACGACGACGACTACTACTAACACTACTACTACTCCTCCTCCTACTACTCCTACTACTACTACTACTACTACAACTACTACTACTACTACTCCCGCTCCTACTCCTACTCCTACTCCTACTCCACTCCTACTCCTACTCCTACTCCTACTCCTACTCCTGCTCCTCCTGCTCCTCCTGCTCCTCCTACTCCTCCTACTGCTACTGCTGCTACTGCTGCTACTGCTGCTACTGCTGCTACTGCTGCTACTGCTGCTACTACTACTACTACTACGACGACGACGACTACGCCTGCGCCTACTCCTACTCCTACTTCTACTCGTCTACTCCTTCCTCCCTTCTTCCCCAAGTACACTGGTAGCTAATGACACTGCCAGTTGTCTACAGGTACTCGTCACAGGACGCACGCGGTACCAAACTGCTCGACCAGTACTCATTTGCTATGCGGTCCATAAGTTGTTCAAGCAGGCACTTGCTACTCAAGCTGCATCTGATCTACGGCTCTGTCTTCGTCTATTCTTCGTCTATTCTTCGTCTATTCTTCGTCTATTCTTCTTCCTCTTCCTCTTCTTCTTCCTCTTCTTCCTCTTCTTCCTCTTCTTCTGATTCTCTTCTCTTCTGCTTCTCTCTCAGGCTTCCACCTAGCGTGCACATCAACTTCCCTTGGGCAATCTCTCTCCGCTTCCACCCTGTCTCCTTCCATGCAGGGGTCTGCTGTCAAGCCAGAGGCTCATATATAGTACCTGGCGCTACTTTGCTGGGGCCGGTACTAATTTGGTATACGATCAATAGGTTGTCATGTTACAGCCAGCAGTTTCTACACAAGCCGCTTCCGTTTTACGGATTAGTTTTCGTCTTCCTTTCTTCTTCTTCTTCTCCTTCTTTTCTCTTCTGCTTCTCTCGCGGGCTTCCACCTCTCTATGGCCGGCGGGCTTGCCGAAGGCAATTAAATATGTATAATTGTGTGATTGCACAAATACATAATATATATATATATGTATGTATATAAATATATACGTATACATCTGTACATGCATAGAGTCATATTTATGGAGAAAAAAACACAAAGAAAAACCATGAAGTACCTAAATTCCAGTTCATTGGGCTGTTTTCAGGGCTAGGCTCCCGATCCTGAATGTCCTGAATGGCTCTGGTTTTGGACCAGAGATACGCCACCAGCACGGCGATCAAAGAGAGAACCTCGGACGGTGAACTTCTGCAGTTGAAGGTTTGGGCCACTTTGCAGCCAAGGCGCAGCAAGAGTCCCACTCAGAACCTTGGCTTTCGACAAATCTTGAAAGAATGGCAAACCTGGAGTTTGACAGTTAGACCTACTGGCTAACAGGCATGCGTTGAGTGTTGTTTCATTCTGCTTTCTTGGAACAAGTGGATACAGTGTTTATATATATATATACAGAGGTATTACACATACATAGTCATACATACATATACAGTCATAATATATATATATATACTGTATATATATATACACACATATTATGTGCATATCCATTGAAACATACTGCTCAATTCACGTAGAGTGTCGATATGGACGTATTGCTCCTCTCAGTATCTCAGCTACTTCAAGACTCGCCAAGTGGCATTGGCCATGCTGCAAAATGGCCATGTTTGGGGGGTTGGAGTCCCTGCAATTGGGCGCTACTGAAGCATTCTTCGCTCTTCTTTGGGAAACACAACTTGGGAGTTTCAGCATGGAAGTTGATTCATAAAGAAACCTCTGGAAATCCATGGAACATCACAACCTATGATCTCATTGGAAGCATGGGCAGAATTCCGAGGTCGGATCTTGAGCCAATGGCTTCGACCCAGGATCGAAAAAAGTGACCAATTTCCATCACATTCCCATATATTCCCATAAAGATAGGTTTAGAATATCATCAAACATGATGGAGACATGTATATAACATGTGTATATATATATACTATATATATATACACATATATATATTGCAACATATTCAGACCCGCGAAAGTCATACAACCTGTCTTTTTGTGTCCCTTCTGACCTCAAATCTTGCAAAAAACAGCTCAAGATCGAAGTGCCTCGTTGGCACGCAAAGTACGCTCGGCCTTCCGCCGTGCTTCGTGCAGAGACCAGGGTCATTCTGGGGTGGTTGTGTGATAATCACGTCTGTTTCAAGACTGAGTAAAAACAGATCTTCCCGGCTCTTGAAATTGGTTTTGTGTTTCTGGTTGCATCATGTTGCATCAACAAAAACCTGCCTGAGTTGCTTGAAACAGGAAAATCATTCGCATTCCAAAGGCCTTGACAGAGTCCATGATGTCACTCAAAGCTGCATGGTGACGCTCCTCGGACAGTTGTTCCAGTTGGAGTCCCGACCAAAGATACACTCGGCATAGTGAGGGTTTGGCTACCCCATTTTCAACATACCGTGCTGAAACGTTTTTCCATCCGAAGTAAAGTTATTTTCATACATTCCCTAAATTGAAGTTCAGGGAAGAATTACAGGTTAAGACAGGAATCCTCTTGAATCTCAACGGACAAAACCAATAGTTCCCTTCAGATTTTCGATAACACTAATCCACTGATTTTCCCGTCAATCCCGTCCATTTGTTGGCGATATATCCACTGTATATCACTTATCCCATTCTGTTACTTACTGGTGCTTAGCAGGGAATGAGGGAATGATCCATAATCACTAGTAATAATCATCCCATTCCCCAATTCCCATCCATTCCCTACTAAGCACCAGTAAGATTAGTATCATCCAAGCATGTGGAGCCACCACCTAAGCTTCCCAACGCTGTCAGAGCGTCGATGGTCCCGTTCCAGATCAATGGCACTGACCTGAGTATCATCCCACCTTGACAGGGCCTGCTTATACTGGCTAAGGCTCTGTACATGTATACAGATGTGTGTATATATATATATATGCATACATGTATATATATAATATATATATATGTATTATTACCCTACTGTAAACAAAAAAATGTGGAACATCGCCATTTTCTGTAGGTAAATCATCTATACATGGGCCATTTTCCGCATCCATGTTAGTTCAGCCAAGGGGAATCATTATTGAACATGTTTAAACATGTAAAATCATGTAAATAAGTATATAACTGTAACACTTTCCATCTATTTTTTTCATAGGGGATGAATCATCTATGTATTGTTATAAGTTACATACCAGCCTGTACTGAGAGTTGACCACCTCCCCCAAAACTGACATATCAACCACTCACCATGGCAAATGTACAGAAAACAGTGAGTGCAAGTTGGGATCTTTTGCCTTTTGCCTAAAACATGTCTGCAGGTTGGATTGTACAGAAGGATTCACTGCAAAAAGATCTACGAGCTGAACCAATTTGAACCTAGCATCGCACCCGGCATGCACCAACCCCAGCAGCTCAGCAAAACATGTATATACATAAAATTCTGTGGACCACCGGAAGAGATATGCAACCTTGCACCATTTCGAAGATTTGTAGGTATGGGTCTAATTTGGCTACAAATCATGGCCAGTCAATCCTACCCATTCAGCTGGCTCATAACATATTTGGTTACCAAAGTACCCACATTTTAAGTGTCATCGTCAGATACTTTCACTACACAATTGACTCAAGCGTCCAAGTCAGGGGTCTGTCATTTTGAGCTATAGGAAAACCATGGAAAACCAAAAGCTTCTCCCACCTCATGGATTTCAGCTGCTGCACAGCCAGTTCCGTTTGACATCGGTGCCCGGGCCAAACGACCGAGGCGTAAGTCGAAGTCATCCAAAGTCTGGACCTCGGGTTTTCATGGAGCAATGGGCCCCCAATTCATGTCAATTGAGTCATGGGGGAAATTATGTCCTATGCCTATACCACTCATGTTTTCAAGGTTTTCCACCATGTTCAAACATCTCCGTTCTTTGTGGGGTACAAGCTTGGGGATAGGGAGATAGCGCAACTTCACTGCCAGAGATGCAGCGCCATTGATGCAGCTGCAGAAAATGCAATAGGTGGAAAGGGGGGCTCAAAGAGTCATGGCACTGTCCAAATGTGTCCGACATGCTTTTGGAATCTTTTAGACATGCTGTTGGAATTTTGCGAGCATCATGTGGTTGTACCATGCCTTAAAATAACCAGATACTCAAAGACAGAATATCATCATTTGGCTCACGCATGGTCACCAGTCAACAGGTTGTTTCAAAGTGATCATAAGTGGCCAAAAAAGGCGCCGTGGACAACTGCCAGCCACCGCTCTGTAAGAACGCCATAATACGAACAAAACTAATTATATACAACAAAATACAACAAACCCATTGACCCTTTACACCATGACAGTCTCACAAGGCCCTGAAGAAACTCCAAACACAAAGGCTGTGCTGGCCCGCGTCTCGAGAATTCCCATTGGCCAGGAGGGCTTCTGTAAGCTCCAACCTCAAAAACTGTGATTGCTGAGATTTGCTGAGTCGACAAGAACCGAAACTTCATCGACAAGTAGTACAGTATAGACCATGTATAGACCATGTATGACCATGAGTATCTTGGTGGATAATGGTGGATATACAATGTGTGAGTCCTCATTTTTATGCACATACACAACATAACTGACATAACTTTGTTCCTGATGGACAACCGCTGCCCCACTGACACCAGCAGTGATCCCAGCCGGTGCCACCCCTCGACAACCCCTTGGCTTCCCTTCTGGCGGCGTAGTTCAGCCACATCATTTTCTCTGGCCTGGGGACGACTTCACGACCGAGAGACATCAGTGGATTTCAATTAAGTGAACCATAGGAAGCCATGCTTATTACCATGAAATCTGAGGGTTTACCGTTTTTATTTAGTATTTTTTTCCCCTCAAACCAATTCTGGGAATCATGGACCAAAGAACTGCCATTGCCAAATTTCATGTTCCAAACATTCGCTGGGTTCGATGAGAGTTTTCAAGGGGTCACCCCGTCAACCGGTAATGGTTCACCCTGCAGAGAGGTCCATTCATGCCACAGGAAGCCATCCCAGTGCGACACTGCTGAGGGACGGTACATTGAGAGTCATGGAGATGCTTCTTGGAGATAAAAAGCTTTAACCATCCGGCTATCCCATCGATCTGTAACCAAGTACCTCCAAGATCCTTGCAAGGATTGCTACAGTGACAGCTGCTTTAGTCTCGCGACCTCTTCTAACAGCAAGTGGAAGGCCAAGGCACAGTAGTTACTATATGTTAATATGCTATGGCGCAAACGTGGCTACCGGTAAGAACAACCAACATCTGTGGTTCTCGTGGCCCTAAACGCTGTGAACTATTGACCCCTTCATATTTTGTTGCTGACTCTCCCTATGTTTGTCAGTTACCCTCTGGTAACTTAACATAGCTCTTGAAAATGGTCATTTATAGTTGATTTACCTATCAAACTTGTGATTTTCCATAGCTATGTTAGTTTACCAGAGGGTAATCCCCACATTTCGTCACATTTCTCCATGCTTGTTGCTTAACATCCTGGGCACCGGTGGATTTCACAAGGCGGCGCTGGGCCGGCTGCACCTTGCACTCGATCTCCACCAAGTCGGTGAAGTCTTTCATGTTGACGCCTTTCAATCGGGGGGTTATTGGTTTGACCACCATTAGCGTAACAACGGAGGGGGAATCATTACAATGGCTATATATATATATCATAGATATCATAGATATCATAGATATGATATGATATGATATGATATGATACGATATGATATGATATGATATGATAATGTATACACATATATATATTTATACCTATCCTTTAGTGGATCAATGTGGATTCATGACCATCCCCAAATGGAGGGCATAGAATTTAACTCTTGACCATGGCACGTGTATTTGGTTTGTTACCTGGCTGATCAGGATGCCAACCAAAACCAACAGGATGCCATAGCCTTTCACTGAACACCATGTATTTTTGTATAAATCGACCCCGTGACGTTCGGGTCGTGTTTTTTCATCTCCTTGATCTCCGTCTCTAGTGTCCTAAAATCCAGCTGGAGCTGTAATCTACCTGCCAGCGGATCACACCATGACAGTTCATCTAATTACACTTTAAACACTACATATCATATCAAAAAATAATTAGTAAACCCCAAAGCATGCACACGTCTACGTGCCAAAGCAGTGTATCGAAAAAACGGCCTTGGACTCATATCCATATCCATACCACAAATCAGGTCTACTTTCGCTACCTGTTGATATCGTACAGGACATATTGATACCCAAACCTGGCCCTTAGTACGCTCCGCTGCTCCTCCATTCTGTGTAGCTTTGGCCTCGATCGCCTGGAAGGTTCAGTTTCTGAACAACTGGAAGTTGTTCTGATTTCAAGGACCTTGCAAACCAGAGGGTCGACATACTAAGCAAACAATGCAACAAGGAAGCAACGGAACTCCTCACCCATCTCGTCCCATCATGTTGTGTAACCCTTTTCGTTGTATATTCATTTATTTATGTTTGAATTAGTCTACGTGATTTCGGGCTTGCGCGAAGCTTGCGCGTACATGAGCTTGCGTGAAGCTTGTGAAAAGTTTGCGCGCGTGTGACGCCATTCAATTTTTTGAAGAATAAATTCCACCGAATACTAGAATCAGTTGCCGGCAGTTTTGAACGTGGCTCAGGTGTCATGGTATTTGTCCTCGCAGTTCAGTCAAAGACTAGTGACATCGTCACGGCTGAAAACGTTTATCCCCCGTTGCAAGACTTATGACTTTCAGAGGCGTCACAGACTTTACAGAAAAGCGAAGCCAATGGCAGCTTCGTTACGTAGCCTTGAATGTAGATAGACGTTTGCCTTGTTTGCTTGACATCCATGATCCTCTGTGCACTTTCAAGGGCTCTCGTGCCTTCAATATCACTCCCGCCAGATCAATTTGGAAATGGCACCCAAATATTGACCGCAAGGAAGGAAAAGTATGGAAAAGTCTCATACCAAACAAGAGCTGACTAACTTGGATTAGCTTGGCTGCAAACAAATTTGGGTACTTCTGTTTCGTCCCAAGACGTGTTCAACAGTTTCAACCAGTTTCATCCCTGATATCCATGGCCATCACTGACCTTGAGATTCTCCTTCACTGCATCCATTTCACTGCGACGCTTCAGGAGTTCATTGGCAATGTCCTGTCATATTTCATAGGGGTTTCGCCCATGGTTTTGGGCATATGATTACCATGCTAAACCACAATCTATATGGAGACTCTGTGGTTGAATATTTCATAGGAGTTCACCAACCAACGGTTTTGGGCGATCATCTATGATTAGCTACTAGCGTGTGGTCATAGTGGATCCTTCAAGCCCATGTAACATGGATGGTTTGAGACGAAAAACATGAGGACCCAGCGGACCCAGGAGTTCAAGCCACCCAAACCACATGGAATCCTTGGTTGCAAGGATGCTGATCTCAACAAACGATGAGGAGTTTGATCCAGTATTAATATGTTTAAGCAGCATCCAGGAATTAAACCATGAAAATTACTGAGTTTTTGGGACAGCAATAATGATAATAATACTAGTAATTAGTAAGGATATCCAACAACAATGGGAAGGCTAAGCAATCAGCAACAAGGCGGATGTTGAGTATCAAAGATGTGGTTCACCAACAATCAGGAGACAGAACAAGAGAATTGACCTACAAGTATATAACTATGCTTAGTTAGAGATAATAAGTGAACATTCGCCAACCTTGGGTGTGTCCAAAATCTGGAGAATTTCGGCGGATTTCGGTGGATTTCGGGGTCCCAAGGAATTCTTTCCGGCACACTCATTTCATCAACGACCGAGCCAATCAAGTCCTTGGTGGTCACACCTATTTCCGATCGCCATTCTTGACCTTCAGTGTGCTAACAGCAGAGATTGCCAAGGGAATCTTCTGCATAATCCTGGCTAATCTATGCTTATCTGTGAATGCAGCTGCTTCATTCTATGCCTCCCAGTTTACTGATAGTGGGTAAGCTGAACGAACGTTTCATAGTGATTCATGATTGCTTTCTGTTGGTTAAGATTGGTTTGGAACCTCAACAATCCCTTAACCACCAGATCAGCAGGGTTCAAAATCTTGAGAACAGGATTTCCAGTTTTTATATATTTTATGGATTGTGAAAATCCCCAAGAGAGATGTATATATATATACAGTATATACAAAGGGTAGTCTCCCCCACTGTAATCATCTATAATCATCAACCAACTGGGGTTTTGAAAACTGCTCAGATGGCCGCTGGTTGACAAACATAACCGAAGAATACTCAGTGCACGACGCATGGCGGCTACCTGGCCAAGATGGAAATCATCGTTCTAAATGAGCTTGAGAAGCCCTCCTGATCTGCATGTTGAAGTTGTGTGCATACCTACAACCACCTTTCAAACATTTTGCAAACCAAAAAGCAAGCCTTCTCTCAAAAGGTTCCTTTTAGACCGCCGGGCTGAAAATCAAATCTCCGGCGGATTTTGCCACTATAGCCAGAGCGGTCAGAAGGATAGTTCCTTTTGTTTTCTATTTTCAACAAAATATATGCGGGCACATTTACCCTCTTTTCAGGTGGATTTTCTCATTATTCAGGCAGATTCTCTGGAATTACAGGCTTTTGATGTCTTCTTGAACAAAATTGCCTCGGATTTCAAAATGGCTTTAGGAGCTCAGGCTGAACTTTAAGTCTGAGGAGGCCCAGGGTTATATGCACAAAAAAAGTATATATCACATATCAATACACATGATGACTACTGTATAATCACTGTTTTATAATATACCCTGAGGTTAACATGGAAAAACTGGAAAAAAAACAAAAACAGGAAAATCATCTACAAATGGTGGATTGTCCACACGTTTGCTGGAGGCTAATCATGCCACATGGGACCACAATTGCAGCCCACTGGCTGAATTCTAGTGATATTAGTAATTTTCCAAGATGCACAGTTCGGCCATAAAACAGGATAGTTCCCCCAATCCAATTCCCATCATTCCAGTGACGTCGCGACGTGAGGTCGCAATCATTTCTCCAGGTTTATGGCTGGTAAATTGCCATTAAATCTTCTGACCTTCCGGTGAATTCCGGATCAAGAGCTGGTAAATCCTGGTTACATCCATCGAGTCAATATCCACTATATTTCCATATATTTCCATATTTTCCATTGATATTCCATGAATATCCCAATCCAGGAAATCCCCGAATTCGAGCCGCGCCTCAGCCTGCCGTGTCTGACATTCCCGGTCCAATAATGCCGCCACGTCCTGGTAACGTTGGGGACATATCATGACAATACAAAGTCATGTATATGTTTGTATACATGTTGATATGATATTGCTCTTAACTTATTTCACATTGTTTATATCTTACTATGTTCTTATTTCTTACTCAACAGTAGCAATTATGCTGGAATTGGACCCAACTGCTGGCGAGTTGTTCCAACAATCCCCGCCTGGATCTTGGTTTTCAGCTCACCAGCACCTCCCAACATCTAAATATCCAGTGATTGATAATGATTGTTCAATCATTAACTATGTATCATGAAATGAATGTGTACATAATATATATTTGTAATTATATATGTGATATATTAGCAATTGTCCTTTGAGTATATCTACATAATTTATGGCTTTTGATGATTTAGATTTAGTATAAAATTGGTGATTATCATCCATTGATAATGATTCATACGCCTTTACCATCCTGAATCTATCTCCATCTGGATCCATTGTTCCGTCTGGAAAGATATCTGCAGCCTACTGCAGCCATCTACTCTGTGTGTCGGAGGCAAATCTGGTTGAACTCGGGTGAGGAAATCATCCAACGAAAGGGTAAGATTTGTTCCCATCAAATACGAGAGTTTTCTTAGTAAATGTTCGGTGAAACCAATTGCTAGTCAGTAGCCAGCATAATTTTGGATAAATTCAGATGATTTTGGATAAATCACTAGCCAATTACACCAACCAATTTTGGATAAATCATGATAAATCACGATAAATCATGATAAATCATGAGAATTCACAAGCCAAAGTTGGGCCCTTTATATAGTGGTTTCGCGATGAGGTGGCAGCTGGGGTCACAGCTCTTGTCACGCTTGGCCGACTGCTCCTTGCGCGGCTGCAGCTGGTTCTGTGGCTGAAAACCCCACTAAGACAGATGCTGAGACAGGGGAGGTACAGTACCAAATCAATCCAAGTCACCAAAGGTTTCCTCGATTCCACTGATGGGAGAAACGCAGAAGCATTTGCCATGAATCCAAGGGATGACCCACTTCAAAGGACTGAACCATAGACGTCCAACATATACACAATTGTATACCATGGACTCGGACCCTTGGCACAAGATTGGTGCTTCAGCAAACTTACAAACATATACAGTACCAAATTATCAGAGAATATCAGAGATTTGGATTATTAAATGCGGCTCCTTGATGATAAACTAATTGACATGTCTTGAATGTAATTTCCCCAAGATTCCGACAAATGTCTCTAAAGACATAGCTGCCTAATTGCCCTATCAAAACAGGAGTCCAAGCACAAATCAGCTAAGTCTCATTTTCAAGATCTGCAACACAAATCCCCCCAGCCAAAACAAAACTCAAAGTTACCCATGCGACATTATGAGTTTTACCCGTTGTCTGCTCAGTGTCAATGTAGTACGGTTCTTATCAGGCACTCTCTCTCTCTCTCTCTCTGGGCAAATAAGAATCATTCCCAAGAACTGAACATAATTTACTTCTGTCAGGATTAACAAATTGAATAATTCCGTCCAAAAATCACCATCAATAAAACATGTGATTTTTTAATGGCCCATTAGGTTCGATGATTTATCTATTAAACTAACATAGATGTGGAAAAAATACTTTACTTCGAGTGATCCCCACCATGACATTTATCGATTTGAAACTGGCAAATCTTCTGGCATTCTATCTGACATATCTTCTGGCATTCGATCCGGCATTCTATCTGGCATATCTTCTGGCATTCTATCTGCCCGCTGAGGTCCAGCAGTGCACACTGAGCTGGGGAGGTCCCCGATTGAGGTCCAGCGGTGCACACTGCGCTGGGCAAATCCCAGGTTGGGTTGAGGTCCAGCGGTGCACACTGGGCTGGGCAGGTCCCAGGTTGAGGTCCAGCGGTGCACACTGAGCTGAGACGGTCCCTGGTTGAGGTCCAGCGGTGCACACTGAGCTTGAGGTCCAGCAGTGCACACTGAGCCCCTCAGGTCCCAGGTTGATGTCCCACAGTGCACACTGAGCTGGGAAGTTGGCAAAGAGCTTGGCGAAGAGAGTTGGCAAAGAGCTTGGCGAAGAGTTGGCAAGGCGGAAGTGGAGGTGGAAGTTGATGCAGACATGGTCGAGGAGAAACTAGAGGGGGAGGAGGAGGAGGACGAGGAGGAGGAGGAGGACAGCTAGCCGAGGAGGAGGAGGAGGAGGAGAACAGCTTTGATAAAATCTAACAACCCTCACCTGGCAGGTGGGGAAAAACACGATGATTTTCAAAGGGAAACCATAGGCACCTCCTCGAGGATTTCATCCATGCGTTTGACGTCCTGCCTGGCGTGGTGACGTGATGTGACGTGCTCCGAAAATGCAGCTGGTACCGTGGATGACTGTCCGGAATTCTATGGGGAATTCTATGGAAATTATAACTTTAATATCCATTGAATGGCCATGATGATGTGGCAGTTTCAATTGGAACTATGCAGCGCTGCATTCATCCCTTTTGATTGTCATTTTCGAACATTGTAATGGCGAACATGATGAGAATTCATCGGATTTTGGGCCTGGAGGTCCTAGAATCAGTTGATGCAGTTTTTCGTCCTTCAACATGGGATCGACCCCAAAAGCCGAAACCCAACAAGTCCCATGAAACAAAGACTTTTTCGTCAAGCAATGATGAGCTAAAGCAATGGCCAGCACAGCCAGAGACACATCAACTGAATCTCTGACGCTGCAGTGGTACAGTTCTTCACTGGGCGTCAACTCACATCCTGCCCCAGCTCTTTGAGCAAATGCTTAAAACGTTCAGCTTCCTCCGCTTTGCCCTTCCAAGTCAGGACGCGAATATCAAGCCTGCAGCTGTGGCATTAAAAAACGTCATCCAATTCACCTGCCTCATGGAATCCCTTTCCCTGACAGCTATGACAGCAGCTATGATGACTTCAGGAAATTTCTGTTTGAATCGCTTCTGTCAAACCCGTTGAGATGCGAGGAAGCATGACCTACGAGGACTCCCGCAGTTTCAATATCTGGTTTGCCCGTCGAAAAGGTCGATTGTCTGTCTGCAAGAAGCAACTATTCTGGTACAACATAGTACTTTTTTGGTACAACATGGTGCTATTATGATCTATCATGTAGATACTGCGTTGCACAACTTAAGAGCGAGAGTATTATTCCTTAAACCAGCGCAAGGTAGAACCAGCAAAAAACTCTTCACAGCAAGGTTCCTCTAGCGGTCTCTATTCTTATTTTTTGGCTTGAATTATACCATGGTGTAAGCCTTGAGATAGTGAGCGGAATTCATCTCCACATTGATCCAAGAAACACTTCTTCCAGCTTTACCCCCTCAGGACACAAGCCACTGGCCATATGCAAAGCTTCCACCATGGCTTTGGCGATGTCCTTTCAGTGTTGTGCAACGATTTACGCCACAACTGGTTGGGAATGCTCATGTTGGGGACGGTGGCTTTGGAGCTATACCCCAGAGAAGGATCCACAATACAATTTCCCACCAACGATTGGGCCAGCCTCTTTCTAGGCAAACCGTTTTTGTCTTTCGAAATACCGCAACCTTCTGTTCTTGTACGCAGAGATCATGAGTTTCTCCCAACATCTGATTGTTCCCATTCAATTGCAGTCTCAATTTTCATCAGCATAAACCCAATCAAAACTACCATGAAATCACTCAGTTTTTTCCTCCAATGCCATTTCTCCTTGAATGGGTTGTTGAAAACACCGCCTCCCAGGGGCAGCAAAAAGATCTTCTTGCGCTTGGACCTGCGTTTCCGAACCATGTGGTTCCAAACGGGCTTTATGGGTGAAACTCCTATGATTGCTATCGTTTTCAACATCGCAAAAAGTGAACTGGCTAGTCAGTGGGACGATCTCCTCGCACAAGTTACTTCTTGAATGACTCAAATTTGTCCCATCAAACGCGTTTCGGGAACACCAAGATCCACAAGGGCAGCTAACGCCTTGCATCTGGAGACATGGGGATGTCTCACCATTTCTTTACACTTAATTTTTTGTTCGATTTCGAGTCTGAATTCAATACGACATTATATATATATATGTCAGTCATTATGGTGTATATATATATGTACCTAAAATACATATCATACATACTATGTATAATGTATATATAAGTATATATATTATCATAATTAATATAACTAAGATCATTTATATATCATCTAATATTTTTTTACATTAAATTAAAATTATAACTTTTATAAAACATTAAAAACACCGCCGCCTTTGGCCCAACATCCAAGCACCTGCTTTTGGCCGTCTCCAGGGCCAGTTTCAGGGCTCCGAAGTAGGCCCCGCGCAGCAGCAACGAGGCCACGGCACGTTGCAGGCGCCTGGGGGAACACTATGGCGCCCGCCTTAATGGGGGATTTTGGTCCTTTTTAACCAAGATCATGATTTGTCATGGCCATCACTACGAATCACAATGAAGCAGAACACCTCAAAACTACGCTGAAATCTATATATAGTCAAATTTCAGACTGTCGGGGCCCCAAATCTGAGAAAATCTGCATAAACGATGATGTTACAATATTAAAAACAGTAAAGGAAGTGATTCATGGATGGTCACAACGGATAGTCCCTTTTTGGCATGCTTTGTATTGTCCCAGCACAGTTCGGATTCTTTAAAGGGGCAGGTGAAAGGACCCAACATCATCAGTTGTTCCAAGCTAGCAGGACAAGAGTGACCTAGAAGTGAAAGTATGGTGTTCATCAAAAGTGGTCCCTGGAAGAAGAGATACCAGCTTAGATTCTGCAAGTTCCCTTTGCGAAGATCTCTGTAGAATATTGTGCGCAAGATCTTCTTGACAGGTTCTCTGTAGAAGCTGCTGCGCAAGATCCCTTTGCAAGGCTATCTGTACTAGGTCTCTAAGAGATCTCCAAAGAAGATCTCTTTTAAGAGATCTCGAAGTAAGATCTCTGTTCAAGCTCTCTATAAATAAAAGATCGCTGAGCAAGATCTCTATTCCCGTCCACCAGGTCATCTGGCAAAGTCTCTAAAAGAGGTCTCCTGGCAAGATCTCTGTACAAGCTCCCTATAAGAGGTCTCTTGGCGAGATCTCTGTACAAGCTCCCTATAAGAGGTCTCTGGGCAAGATCTCTGTAAGAGACCCCTTGGCAAGATCTTTGCAACAGATCTCTATGCAATGTCCCAGAGCAAGATCTCCATAAGAGGTGTCCTGGCAAGATCTCTGTACAAGATCTCTGTAAAAGGTCTCTTGGCAAGATCTCTTTATGAGATCTCTGTAGGAGCTGTCCATAAGAGCTCTCCTGGCAAGATCTCTGTAAGGGACCTCTTGGCAAGATCTCAACAGATCTCTATGCAATGCCTCTGTACAAGATCTCTATGAGAGGTCGCTTGGCAAGCTCTCTGTACAATCTCCCTATAAGAGGTCTTTGGCAAGATCTGTTTCAGAGATCTCTGCACAATCTCTCTATAAGTCTACAAGAACTTTCTTGGCAAGATCTCAGCAGATCCCGATGCAATGTCTCTGCACAAGATCTTTACAAGATGTCTCTTGGCAAGATCTCTGTATGAGCTCCCTATAGGAGGTCTCTTGGCAAGATCGCTTGAGGAAATTTCTACGAGCTCTCTATAAGAGCTCTCTTGGCAAGATTTCTGTAAGAGACCTCTTTTGGCAAGATCTCTGTAGAAGATCTCTATAAGAGCTCTCCGTATAAGATCTCTATAAGAGGTCTCCGTGGCAAGATCCCTGCGCAAGCTCTCTAGTAACTACTCTAGTAAAGACCTCCTTGTCAAGATCTCTGCACAAGATCTCCTTGGCTATCAAAATGAGCGCCGCGCCACAACCAGAGCGAGGCCCAAAGTCCCGAGATGGTTGCGCGAGGGATCTCAAAATTCGCGCCGCGTTACAGCAAGAGCGATCTAAAAGGCCCAAAGTGCCGAGACAGGATTGCGCGAGCGATCTCAAAATTCGCACCGTCGCACCGCGCCACAACAAGAGCGATCCGACAGGCCCAAAATGGCGAGAGGGTTGCGCGGGTACTGGGCACATGTTAGATTCTCACAAAACATTGCGGCCACCACGAAACATGAACATTGAAAATGTCAAAAGCGATGTCTTACTCAGGTCTCAGTCACTTTTTGTCGGGGTCTACACAAAGTACTGCCCCTGCCACGAAAAATTATACCTCCAAAACGATGGCCCACCACTGGCAACGTTTTAGGAGCGTGCAGAAAGTGCCACACCTGTTACGCGGATGAACAAGTGTCCGATGTCCTGCACCTGTCACGGAAAACGACGTCTTAGACTTCAACATGTCCCGAAAGTGTCACGCCTGCCACGAAAAATGGACACAGCTCAAAAAACGAGCATGGCGCGCTAGTAAAACGAGATCTTCGGAAGAGAGGTCTCCGCCACACCCTGGACTCATGGACATCTCACAAGATAACTTTTGTGCTGTAAGAGTCAGCAAAAACAGCATGCTTTGTAATAGCAAACCCACCTCTAATAATAGACGAAGCTACACATTCTCCAGCGACTCGGTCGTGTTGCTGTAGGCATTGACAGGCACCTCACTCGGCGATCACCGGTCCCATCTGTGCCACGGTCAAGATACGTGGTATATCGGGTATGGTCATCCCATCCTCATGAATGGAAATTCACATACTTACAATATTTTTAAAGATGGTTCTCTACAAATAAATCATTAAAAATCCCACCAATTCATTGATGGCCATCTGGGAAAGGATGTACCCTTCTCTTGCCAGTCTGGCGGAAGACTTTCTGTGCTTTTCTACTCTTTTGAACTAACACTACATCAATAAACAACCTGACGCCATCAGGGTGGACGCTGATTAGGCTGGTTTATGTCCTGCCGTTGGGCCAAGCGTCAGCGGAGGCATAGATGAGATTCACGTGATGTCGACATTTGGACCATTCTTTCAAGGAGGGCGCCAGGCCTTTCTCGGGGATCGACACCAAAACTGAGGCAATCAGGTTCCAAAAATGGCGACGAATGGGGGTTTAATATGGTTGAACCAAAAACGGTGCTTTAACCATAAGAACCTAGCGATCAATACTTGGGATTTCCAATAGAGGGAACACGGACCCTCCAAAGATTATGGGGTGAAGGATCAACAAAAATAAGGCATCAAAAAAAACATATTCGACAGGGGATCAAAAAATAGATATTCAAGCCACAAAAAAAAACTGGAACCCCTGGTTTTCTATGGCCCTTGCAACAGTTTGGAAACGAAACCGCACATTTCTGTGGTATTTGCAGCGCTTTGGAAGTGGAACCTCGCGGTGATGACAGTGGAATTCCCCATTGATTCTTGGTAAATTCCTGCTGCTGGAATCCTCAAATTGTTTTTTGCGCACTTTATTTCTGGTGTTAGCCCAAATCGAATCGTTGAATACATCTTGATTCATCGATTGATGTCCATTGAATGTGGGTAAAATCACATGATTCTGGTTTAACCAAGTTAATCCTCCATTTACTGCGGAGAGTTTCTACCTGGGTCTTGGTTTTCACCAATTTGATTGCCACTACTACTTCAAGTTTATGCTAACGGGTGCCAAACCGTACGTGTAGTTACACACATTTTCGACATGGGGTGGGGTGGGGTGGGGTGGGGATGTTAACGTTCGTTAGCAGTTGAACACGCCACGCATGCGACGCTGAGCATGTGGTGAGGTGGAGATGTGTACGTTCGGTTGAAGTTGAACACGCCACTGCTGCTACGCTGATCATGGGGTGGGGTGGGGTGGGGACGTTAACGTTCGTTAGCATTTGAACACGCCACGCATGCTACGCTGAGCATGTGGTGGGGTGGAGATGTGAACGTTCGGTTGAAGTTGAACACGCCACTGCTGCTACGCTGATCATGGGGTGGGGATGGGGTGGGGTGGGGTGGGGATGTTCACGTTCGTTAGCATTTGAACACGCCACGCATGCTACGCTGAGCATGTGGTGGGGTGGAGATGTGAACGTTCGGTTGAAGTTGAACACGCCACTGCTGCTACGCTGATCATGGGGTGGGGTGGGGTGGGGATGTTAACGTTCGTTAGCATTTGAACACGCCACGCATGCTACGCTGAGCATGTGGTGGGGTGGAGATGTGAACGTTCGGTTGAAGTTGAACACGCCACTGCTGCTACGCTGATCATGGGGTGGGGATGGGGTGGGGTGGGGTGGGGATGTTCACGTTCGTTAGCATTTGAACACGCCACGCATGCTACGCTGAGCATGTGGTGGGGTGGAGATGTGAACGTTCGGTTGAAGTTGAACACGCCACTGCTGCTACGCTGATCATGGGGTGGGGATGGGGTGGGGTGGGGTGGGGATGTTAACGTTCGTTAGCATTTGAACACGCCACGCATGCTACGCTGAGCATGTGGTGGGGTGGAGATGTGAACGTTCGGTTGAAGTTGAACACGCCACTGCTGCTACGCTGATCATGGGATGGGGTGGGGTGGGGATGTTCACGTTCGTTAGCATTTGAAAACGCCACGCATGCTACGCTGAGCATGTGGTGGGGTGGAGATGTGAACGTTCGGTTGAAGTTGGCTGCTACGCTGAGCATGTGGTGGGGTGGAGATGTGAACGTTCGGTTGAAGTTGAACACGCCACTGCTGCTACGCTGATCATGGGGTGGGGATGGGGTGGGGTGGGGTGGGGATGTTCACGTTCGTTAGCATTTGAACACGCCACGCATGCTACGCTGAGCATGTGGTGGGGTGGAGATGTGAACGTTCGGTTGAAGTTGAACACGCCACTGCTGCTACGCTGATCATGGGGTGGGGTGGGGTGGGGATGTTAACGTTCGTTAGCATTTGAACACGCCACGCATGCGACGCTGAGCATGTGGTGGGGTGGAGATGTGAACGTTCGGTTGAAGTTGAACACGCCACTGCTGCTACGCTGATCATGGGGTGGGGATGGGGTGGGGTGGGGTGGGGATGTTCACGTTCGTTAGCATTTGAACACGCCACGCATGCTACGCTGAGCATGTGGTGGGGTGGAGATGTGAACGTTCGGTTGAAGTTGAACACGCCACTGCTGCTACGCTGATCATGGGGTGGGGATGGGGTGGGGTGGGGATGTCAACGTATATCGTGTGTTCTCGTTACCTGTTTTGAGGAGTGCATCATAATAATTTATAATGGTTGTCATACTTCTGTTGATAGTGTCTTTCACCACGGTAACGATAAAGTTCATCCCAATGGTGATAAAAATCACCCTCTAATTTCATATGTTGGTCATTATTGGATATGCTTGGTATGATAGCGATCTTTCATATCGTGAGGATAATAACTCATCAAATCACTAGTCAGTGAGGTCTACATGCACAATGATCAATGAAAGTGGCAAGGCAAAAAAGGTCCGAAATTTGTGCTGTAAGGATTGCAAAATCAAAGAAAAATGACCTTTTTTGGGAACATTTTTTTCCTGATCAGAAGGCCACGAAACACTGAAAGGGTTGTCATTTTTTTCAGCATGTTGATGCGCCTACACGCGCGATTCCGCACCCGGCGGGAAGTTTATGCTAGCGGGGGGGAAAACCGGCCAATAATTTCTTCATTTTTATGTGCCCGTGACAAGGAAAACAACTACACCCTGGAATTCCGTGCGTCATTTCCGTTTTTCCTGTTTTTCAAGCGCAACAAATGTATATCAACATAAACATCACCATCTTCCAACATTGAGAACATATGGGGGGGTGGGGGGGCATGTTTACGTTGGGTTCATGTTGCGTTGGAACGGCAACATCAACATATCAAAGAGTGTCAGCAGAATCGAGTTGACACGTGGTATGACGCATGTGGCTGCAAGGTCTTACCTTCTCACGGATGGAGCAAAGGCCTATCCAAGTCTAGCCAAAAAGTATGGCTTGAAGGATGAGGAAGTGAACCATGCTGGTGGCCAATAAATTATGACTTTTCATGTTGAAAGTCTCGTCCGGTGAGCCCCCCGCACGGAAGTTTATGGGCTGAATCTCCACTTATTCATGCCTGAAATCCCAATTGATTGCTAGTGCTTTACAACATGTTTACCAGTTGAACCCCTCGCGTTTCACATTTTGGAATTTGGCATTTATTTTATATATACATATATATAGATATATAAACTATTAAATAAATAATATATATATATATAACATATATTATCAAACCAGTATGAACCTCCATGTTTCATGTATTTTTCATATATTTTCCTCCATGAACCCCCCATTGTTGGAAAGCGACTTGCGACAGCGATCGCCATGGCCTGTGGCGGGCACCTCGCACATCGCCACAGTTCGCAGCTTCGACAGCTGCGCTTTCAGTCTGCTGGTCACATCGGGTAAGGCCTCGGCCAGGCCAGGCTGGACCGGATGTAATGTATATGTAATGTTATATGTAATGTACATGTAATGTACATGTAATGTATATGTAATGTAAATGCAATGAATGTGCAATGTATATGTAATGTATGTGCAATGTATATGTAATGTATATGTAGTATGTACATATTATGAACACACATGTATAAATATATATATATACAAATAACATATATATATATATATAATCCCCCTTCGAATTGAGTCATTACCCCGTACTCCCTGATTCTATAGGTATAAAACGGGGAGTACCCCCCCCCCCTAGAATCTACAAACCTGATCAAAGATCAAAACGGCCCTCTATAGAATGTAGGGGTACGGGGTACTGACTTAATGCCACATGTTTGTGGAACCCCCCTCTATAGAATCAAACCCACCATGTTCTGACATTTCTCAAGGGGTCACTTGCACATGTCCCAAATTTGGTTTGTGAACCCTATAGGGGGGGAGGCGTACTCCAGCAGAATGGGGTTGAAGCCTTTAAGAAGGCAGAATACACGCCGTTTTTCTCAGTGTTGAATCAAATTACGTTTCGCGACATGGTTTTTAAAGTCCTTTGAAGACAACAAGCGTGCAATTTGGGAAGGAAAAAGGATTGGTTCTTTGTCCTACTGTTCCTGGAACCCTATGGAAACAGACTAAAATTATTTAAAGTAATACCTTTAAATCATCTAAACACTCAGTTTTGAACCGCTCAAGGGTACCCTGCAGTCGTACGGGCTATGTTACACTTCTCAGATTTGTGCGTGTCATCCTTGCCCATGAAAAACTCACTCCGGTTGCCTTTCGCTCTGCGCCACCGGGTGTCATGGGAGACCGTCTTTGCACTTTCTGAGCTCTACGTACGCACGCTGCTCACGACCATGCAGTAGATGGTTGCAGCCATGCGCATGGAAACATTGGCCAGCCTTTGTGGCAACTACGGTCTCTGGAGTACGCACCTGCTGCATCTCACGTCGCAGCGAAGCGACATGCTCCTCAGCAGCTGCCAGCTTCTTCTTCATCTCCACCATCTCAAAGGACTGCTTGTCGATGATCGCCATCAGCTTCTCAGGGGAGGTTGATGATGGTCGTTTTGGATGGTTGTCAAAGATGCCAGGTGTCTTGTTCCCTTTTGAGCCAGATGGCTTTTCTGATTGTGCCTGTTTCAGCGCCATGTTCTCGGCCTTCAGCTTCTCGATCTCGGTCTTCAGCTCCTCGATCTCGGCCTTGTCCGCCTCTGATTGACGGTGATTCGTCTCCACCTGACTGTTGAGGTCGGCCAAGTGATGATTCACTTGGTCCTTGTAGTAGTTGGCCGCATCGTTGGCTGAATCATTGGCTCTCTTGTAGCCTCGAAGTGTCGTCTCCAAATCTTCGATCTGTGCGGCATAGGTGTCAGCCTTCTTCTTGTAGTGGTCGGACTTGAGCTCCCACTCATCTCTGTCGGCTGAAGCTGCATCTCGGTTCTTCTCGCTCAGATCCAGTCGTTGTTGGAGATGGGTGCTCACTGACCAGCTCCTCCTGCATGCATCGGTTTCTTGCGGCATAGTCACTGGCACATTGCTCCCAAGACTGTGCCTCCCTCTTCTTGTCTGCCAGCTCTTCTGAAGCTTCTTCATAAAGTCGTTTCCGATGGTTTGCTGTCCGTCGGAGTTCGGCAGCTTCATCAACATCCATGGGCTGCGGTCCATCATCGTCTGGCAGCTCGATCTTGACCTTGGTCTTCAGGAAGAGGATGCCATAGAGCCTGTTCTTGATGTAGTCCACAAAATCGCGGGCACACCGCTCGAAGCAAAGAGACATCACCACGACCACAAAGATCATCACGTAGACCCCAAAGTACGTGGTGTAGTTCGGCACCGAACAAGACGTCATGGCCGGTGCCAGGTCGTAGGTGACAGGTTCACCGTGGGGCGCTTGAGCCATCGTGCCCACTGCAAACATAAATGCCACCATAATCTTCTAACTGAAGGTTGATGGAAACATGCCCAAGAGAATGGAGGCGTGTCCCACCTTTACCTGTTTCTTTCCAGCCTTCACCTCCTCAAAGATTTCATCATCATCTTTCATCAAATCATGTTCAACGTATTAATGTACTGCAGGAAGTGTATGGCTGGTCACTGGATGGTTTGGCTTGTTGTGAAAACGAACTGTTCCCGTAGTCAGAAGATTGAGCATGCTGTCATGAACCATTGGCTTTGTCAAGGAGTCACTGGTCATGCATTGTGTTGGAACCAATGTCAAGAGGCGCATACGACCAGACAGGCGGCACTCTTTTAGACTCAGGATGTACAGTCTCTGTGACTTGTCCTGTGGCAGAGTGCGCAAGCCAGTGGTGAGCTCGAAGACGTCGCGGCAGTCGCCGTAGAAGTCGATGGGCAGCCGCGGATCTCCTTCTTCTTGAACTTGGATTAGCTCCTTGATGGAAGGTTGAGGTTGGGTGATGAAATTCTGCCAGTCGCACCATCACCAAGGTGCTGGCTTCCATGCCTCCCACCATTGACAAAGTCTCTGCATGACTTGTAGAGTAGGAAATTCTCTTCGCCTTGGAGCCTGAAGCATGTAGAACATGAAGTGTCCCACCATGTTGATCCACCGTGCCTTCTCCATAGCCATCCTTGAACTCCACCTCGTTCGGCATGTTGGTGCCGTAGAACTTGTCCTCCGCCAAACCGATGATCAGACCTTCTTGTGCATAGCTTCTGCCCTTTGATGCTGCTGATGCATCGTGAATGCACATGAGACGCACATTGGGGTTCTCCATGATGCGGTAGTGAAGGCCCACGTCGGCGTAGTCGCGGATCTTGATGAGGATGGAGTTGGCCTGCTTGATGTCCTTGACTTCTGCAGTGGTCACTCGGCTCTGGAGAACCGACACGTCAGCGATCACGTCCAGTCGAGTTGCAGTGATCCATAGAAGGGCTCCCAAAATGGAACGAAACGTAGAGGTCTCTTCCTTGGTGAGCTTGGAGGATTCATCACGCTGAGGAACTGCAACGAGTTTCAGTTTCATCGCAAAGTCACGTTGATGGATCTTGTACCCGGCAGGGGTTCTCTCATAGCGGCAGCCACAGTGGTCGAAAGGAAGTTTCTGGCGGCTCACCTTCTTGAAGTGCTTGACCATGTTGTCAGCCATGCCATCCATCCAAGATGTATAGTTCCAGTCATTTCGATGTCGTCCACATGGGTTGTTGCCATCGCGGTCAAAGAAGAGTCCTTCTCCTCCCAAAGAAAGGTGCAGTCATCCAGGTGGGATCCAATGCCTCATTGAGCTTTGATGAATTGATGAAGACAAAGTTGCCAAGCAAGAGGTGCATCGTTGAGGCCGTAGACTGGCTTCGTGCACACAAGAGGCCGTACTGGGTTGCCGTCACCTCGTCCATGCCAGCAAAATCGCTGCTCAATTCACTCAAATGTCTGAAGACGTTCAAAGGGGGCAAGATCACCACCACTCGATGAGGAGCGTCAACTCCAAGCTGCTTCAGGGTCTTCTGGATCTCGGCAAAAGAGAAGCCCTTGAGAAAGGCACCTGCGATGTCAATGCTCTCGACAGTGTGCTGTTTCTTCCTGGCAGCATGGGAAATCAGCAGCCTCTGGGACAAACGTGTTGCCGTAGTGGAACGAGTCGTGAGGAGGTCCTTCTGCTGGCCCAGGAAGCCCCGAGCACAAAGTCTGGATTTCATCTTGACCGACTTGTCTGGGTATCGTTTCCACTTCCGTACCCATCGAGCATCGATGATGACCATGTCTGATGTGAACTGGTCGCCGTGGGTCTTCTTGAAGGCTCGTTCTTCGACAAACTGTCGAATCTCAGCTCGGTCAGCTTCCTCAATCTTGGGCCACATCTCAGGCGTGATGTTCTCCTCCGTCACATTGTCTGTCTCCTCGTCAACCTTGAAGATCTGTGCTGTGCGGAGGCAAGCTGAGGCAGGACTGCTGAGCTTGTAGCTGATCTGGAAGAGATGCGAGCTGGTTCGTTGTCGATGTTGATACTCCTGGTTCATGGCGTTCCGGACAGATGCGAGCATGATGTCATAGCCATGTCGCCAGTCCTCGGAGAAATCCAGGATGATCTTGTTTCGAGTGTTGTTGATGTAGTAGGTCTGGAGAAAGGCAATGTCCTTCTTCATCATGGCAATCTTCTCCTTCTTCTTCTCAGGGTTGTTGTTGGTGCCGGCTTCAGAGGTGTCCCTCTTCTTCTGGACATTGTCTGTTTCCATTTCCCCTACATCTGGTTGTGGCAAGGAATGAGGTTGCTGTGGTTGCACTGGAACAGGTTGATGTCCTGATGGTTGGTTCTTGGGCTTCGGCTCGAAGTGTGCTTCTCCACCAGGAAGGTAGTAGTAGAAGTAAATGATGCATATCTCTTCGCGAGAGTAGTTGGAGACCTTCTTCATGCGCAGGTGGTTGGAGTTCTTGTGCTCTTGCACTGAAAAGGGTTTTCCACCTTGCAGCCAAGTGATGAGCTTGCCGACGGTGTTGTTCGGAGGCTTGAAGGTGCGAAGTGCTCGACCCATGATGACTCCATGCAAAGGCATCTTTGTCATGGCCTTGGAGACGTTCTCAGCCCATTCCATCACATTCTTTGTGGCTGGAGTTTCTTTTTGGTGTCTTCACCCAAGCGCCATCTTGTCCACGACGAATCCAGCCAACAATGTAGGATTTGTAGTCGGAGAGGCCTTCCACATACTTCATCAAGTTGCGTAGATCTTGTTCAGCTGTTGGGCTGGTTCGCTCGAAATGGTAGATGCCCTTGTAGGGTCGGATGAACCTGAGAGCAACCAGATATGGTTTGCCCTGGTACTGCAAGACTGCGGTACCGCTGTCCTGATTGCATTAATTGGATAGCTTAAAGATGACACATGCACACCCAAAGCCTGCCAAGCTCACATGTACTAATACAGCCTGGTGTAGAAATGATTAGAAATGTACATACAGGCTGGTGTTTGTTTCACAGAATTTATGCCTCTCTGTAAGTCTTTTGGAATGGAATGGAATGGAAGATAGAAGATGTGGTCAATGCTACGTTTCACCCTGTCAGTCGGTTGGATAGACTACTACGGACCCCCAATTTCAGGGCTGGAGTCTTGCAACCCTGTGGCAATCACTCAACCACCTGGCCTGGCAGGGGAGAAATAAAAAGGAACATGCCCAGACAGAGGGGATCAAATGATCCTCAAAACTAGACGTGTTTTGCTGGCTACTTTTCTGAGAGAGGTTTTTTCCGTACAATCAATGTAGCTGAGCATGTCTTGAAAAGAGGGAACCAGTGCAAGCACAAACTTGGTCCTTTTTGGTTTGACATTGGATGTCAATAATCTTGGGCCATGGCTGGAAAGGGAGTGCCACGACTACCCAAGCATGTATGTAAAGTATAAAGCATCGGGCTTTCTTGAGTTTCCCTTCGACCAACAGTTTAACATATTTCATCATATTTCAACCATCTCCGAACTCCAAGATCACGTGACCACATGTCTTAACTTATGCAAATTCTATAACTATGACTATAACACTATTAAAAAATATATATATGATTACAGCTGTACCCAAAGGAACTACTTCAGTGGCTGAAGACAGCCTCAAATTCCAGCAGTTGCTCCCAGGCACCATTTTGGCGTCATCATCTTCGAGCTCAGGCACCTGAGTCCATGGAGCTAGCTTTGGAGTTAATAGGGGTATAACTAGATTGTAGATTAGTGGTGACACACATATATATATGTATAAATAATTAAATATACACATACATATAGTTCTATTATAAGTATGAACATGTATGATATGATGTGTATATATATATAACAACAAGGAATATGCTATTATGGGGTGATTTCATAGATATCTATAGATTATAGCACAACGGATACCAACGATCAATAGCTGTTCTTCCCTGCAAAAATGGCGATTTCTCGGTCAATCTGAGTCAGATGGGTCGCTGATCCAAGTAGTTTGATGGAAGTTCAATCACCACAAATGGTAACCATGGGTATTTACTGCCATGATATCATGGAATCTAAATCCATCTCCTGCGGCCATTGGGATATATTGTCGGTACTAAAGGATACTAAAGGATACTAAAGGGTAAATATATAATATTGGGATAGCCAAATGAGAATAATGAAACTCTGTGGTTCGCAGGCCCTTGAAATCTAGCAGAAATTTCAGTGGAAACCAGACATGGCTGTGGTTCAGCACCGAACTGGGATGTGGGAAGGATAATCTTCGAAATGTTGACTGAAGACTGAAGACTTGGTTTGAAGGAAACAAATGAGTGCCAGACCATATCTGGAAGGTGTTCAACATGCTTTCCCTTTACATCACTGTTTAGTTTCCCTGAAAGGCACCCAGTGCATTGAACACGAGTAAAGAACGGCAGCAAATACATCTTGACAGACGTGCCAGCTGACAGCCCAATTTCCAAGCCAAGATGCCATGAGGTATCCATTCTTAACTTCCAGATTGTTCAAGAAATCTTTGGCTTCAGAAGATCCTTCACCTTTACCTGGCGAAGGACTACTTCCATAGACATTTGTGCGTGAAAGCGCTCATTGGTGCGGGTGAAATCCCACTGCCGGTGAAATCCCACAGCGAAATGAGGTTGGCTGGGTGCCCCTGCTGCCGCTTTCATATACCTGGATTATTAACCTGTTCCCTTGGGGTCAATCACTACTGCTGTGCTACAGTACTTCCCCCAAGGATGATAAGTGCCCTTAAACCAAGGAGCGCAATGCCGGCAGCAATCGCGACAGTGCATCCAGCCCAGTTGGTCGTATGCTTGACTTGGCATTGTCCAACCTTGGAACCAACTTGTTCCACTTTATTCTTCAGACTTTGCTGGCAAAGGTTGGAAGGATCCAAAACAAACTTCTAGATTAAATGTGGTCTATTCTGGAACCAATGCACTTTGCTTTTGGCAACGCAAATGGCCACCAAATGCCATGTTCAAACTATCATTTCATATCCTTTCTGCATATCCATGCAGCTCTGAAAGAGGAGAAGGTAATTTCAAGTCTCACAAACTCTCCCTTGGTAATCACATGTAATCAAACCGTTAGTCAAAATCCAGACTTTGTGCGTGTTTGCCTGTTGAAATTGGGGACTTCCAGTTGCCATGTTTGATTCCCATAGGGTTTTTTCATGTTTTTTCATGTTTTTTCTCCTTTTCTGTAGATCAAATTCCAAGCCGTATCGATTTACGAATCATCTTTGGCTATCTTGGGTGGTTCCAAATGGCTATGTTCCCAGACAGCGCCCTGCACCGCATATGGCGCCAAGGAACAGAAACTGCGCGCAGGCCAAGTGCGCCGCCAGCTGCCCGCGGGGCCCTGCGGTGCGATCGTACCTGTGGCCAGCTGCTGGGGAATCTTGACCCCAAAAGACCCATTTGTCATGATACATAATAATATATAATAATATATAGTATGATATAGTATGATATAGTAGCATAAAATGGTGATATCATATTGGGGGTTAATATAGAATATCATATAGAATATAGAATATCACATCACATATCATATCATATTATGTTATATTATAGTCATTGAAATAAATAGCATTTAATTGTGGGGGATATAGTGGGGGATACAATGGGGGTGTCATGAAATATCATGCGAGTATGTTGATGGGGGTATGCAAAACCAACCATAATGGAGGTATAGTATAATATAGTAGAATGATGTAGAATCAACCAAGTACTACATACTGTAATGGGGGAAAAATGTGGTACATGAAACCAAACATAATGGGGATAGTAACCATTGGGCCTAGAACCAGCGACTGGTTGATTTGTTGGGGTAGGAAGAAACACAACGAAAAACTGCCAGCTTATGGGGTAAAGTACGTAGTTACGTAGTGAAAGCATGTGAAAGGGACAAAATAATTGGCCAACGGATTTCCAACATATGGATGTGCTGAAACCCTGTCAGATGGATCATACACGGGTTTTGAGGTTGAAAACATCCATCCATTTATAAGATGTTGTAAGGTTGTATGGTTGGGAAATTTGGTGCAGGAATGGGTTGGGATTTTACCCCAATGTGTGGCTGTCACCTGGATCAAAGCATTTCTCCCACATGGCCTGTAGTCATCGACGTCAGTGACAATGGCCTTATCTGCACCTTAGTGGATGAACATGACTTTCCAGGATGTTCATTGTAAAGTGCCATCATTGATACTGTTTTGTAGAGTTTTTTTGGATATGTTCATGATACAACCTCTTGCAATCATGGGTCAATCAGGATATTCAGCAGCATTCATCTGTGAAGGCAAAACAAAGAAGGCTCCAGCGTTCTCCTTGTTCTGGATCTCCTTTTGCGTCAAAACGTGCTGGTTCTCCGCAAGAGGATGAGAAGAACCAGTCGTGACTGAACAGCATGACCCCCAAACAACAAGGCCTCATGAAGGGGTCAGCCACACCATCAACACCTATTAGGGGAAGGGGGGGAATTGAGAGCGCCATCCACATGACGCACCAGCAGGAAATGGACCTTGGATCGAAGCAATCAAACCCAACTGCCTTGGAACCACCACCATCAAGCTGTCCATTGCAGGGTGTATGGCATGGCTCTGTTCTGATGGTGTATTCCACTAGCAATGCAATATCAGTACAGTATAAATTAGTCCCTATCAGTTTTGGGACTATCACAGCTAAGCATCCCCAAACCACATGGTATACACAGGATGTTCAGGTTACTTCGGTTCTTTCCCCTAAAAAATCCCCTCACTGGCCACCTTGCTGTTACCATGCCTTGATTACCCCTTGATCATCCCTTGTAGCCCTTACAGCACAATCCTCCTGAATCAACCCTTTGCTGAGTCTCAATCATTGCGGGTAGCTAGTGATGCAAACAAACCAAACAAAACAAAACTTGATCATATCCGAAACAAAAAATCAGCTTTTTAGTATTCAGTTGTTGATATTACCGCAATTCTATGCCTGGTGCTAGCAGTTTTGTTCCCAAGCACCAGCTCCATTGGGACTCCTCCATAATTTCGCTGCTTGTCACGGACAGCACGTGTGACAAAAACGCGGCAGTGCAATCGGGCAGTTGTCCCAAAGGTCGCCTCATTCAGAGGGGATTCACCATGATTCACCATGACGTGTCGCTATCCGTGGAGTCAAGGTGACCCTTGTCATTCCAATGGGTCCAGGTTAGACCCCTGAATCCAATGGTTTATGATTGGTATCCTCCATATCCAGGTGAAATATGGTTAAATGAACATACCTCATCATACTTCCCCAACAAGGCCATGTGGGGATACTTAATGATACTTACCCTTATCAACCATAATCTCCAGTGTCTTCGTTTTTAAGTGACATTTCCCCAACGTCGAAAAACACCAACGCGGCAGTCCAGTGGCACCAGCAACTGCCCAAGTACACGCCCAGAAGAGGAAGACAAGCGACCCGAGGAGGGGTCAAAGCCTCGGTTTTGGACCAATGCACAAACAAACTCTGCGTAAAATATTGTAAAACCCATAGGATCCATGTATGGTGTATATATATATATACTAACATTGGGGGTATATTGATGGTAAATGTTACCATATATAGCATACATGGATCCTATGGGTATTGTAAAATATTGTAAAACAATGGCTATGGTAAACTACAAGAAAACCGTTGTAAGTCACTTTTGGCCGCAAAATCAAACTGTGCAAGGCAGAGCAGCGCGCCTTTTGATCCTAAAAGAGCCTAGCAGTCAAGCTAGTTGAGTTGTGGTGCACACTGATAAGAACAGATACTTCACCTGTCCAGCATGTCACAGTCATGTACATGAACCCTTTTGCACTCCCCCCACGACTTCGTCGTGTATAAAAAGGAAGTTTTCGTGCCTTGTGTTCGGAAGGCTCTTTACAGGGCTCAAGGCTCTAAAAGAAATTGGATTTGCCAGTGACGCCAGGTGGTTGTTAGGCCCCACTGGTCTTAAAGAGTGAAAAACTACAGTGCGTAAAGACTCGCACCTTTTGGAATCAACCTCGGCACGTAAAGACTCATGCCTCAGCTGACTTGTTGGCAGTAAAGACCCTGCCAAAGAAAAAATGTCCGGCCCTCAAAAGAGCATCTTGTCAAAATTGCGCTCCACCTGGATCATGCCGTAGAGCTCGAAGTCACTGACAGGGCCGGTGAATCGGATCTCACCGTCACCCTATCGGCAGCCTCTTCACGGCGCTCCACATAAACATTTGTGGAACTCGCTGCAGCTTTCGATGTTGTCGTTGGCGGACGCAACACCGGTCGCAGACCCAAGTCTGCTGCAGCTTTGGCTGGTTGAACTCCTCGTTCTGCTCGAAGTTCGCCAGTCATCCGCAACATATGGGATAACGTCGCCCTCTGACCAGGGTTTCCCATCATCTGCTGTTGTGGTGGCTGCAGACTGCCACCTTCCTTGATCACCACCATATCCTGCCGGACCTTGTGGTCTTTGCTGCATCGGCGCAGCCATTGGTGGTTGCCCTTGTAGAGGTCCAGGCACATAGTTCGGAGCTGCCCTCGCCATCGCCTTGGCCGGAGGTGGGCCCATTGGAGGTGGTCCCGCTCTCACCTGAGGTGGTGGGCCCGCTGGTGGTGGACCTGGCATTGCATGTTGTGCTGGAACTGCTGGTGGTTTGGCCATGCGGTTCATCCACTCCTGCATGTTCTGTCTTTGAAACCAAGCCTGAGGTGGCGGTTTCCTTCCAGGTTGAACCATCCCGTGCTCAAACGGAACCCCTGGGTCAGCCTCCTCCTCCGTGCTTTCTCTGGTCAGCCCATTCTTCGGCACAGCCACCACATTTCCTTGGAGCGCAAGCGAATGCGTCACCCCAGGAACCACTGGCCGGCGAAGCATCAAGCCCACCTGCGCGAAGTCCATCTCCACCTGCAAGCCATTGAGCACACCATATCTGTAGGTCTGCATGGATCCAACCCAACTGGTTTGATCCCACTGGACCCAACGTCCATACGTCAAAGGGATTGTTTGGCCCTGCATCAGCGCTGTCATCACCTGCTGTACATGCTGCGCTGGCGGTGCTGGTGCCATGCCAAAACTTGCCTTTGCCCGCATCTGTTGCCCCAAACTTCCTGGGACCATCGGCGCCATCTCATGCTCCGGGTCGTTGCGCACCACCCTTGAAGGGCGCGCATTTCCAACCTCTGTGTCCTGCTCCACATTGACCTCTTCTTCAACGTTCTCTGGCTCTGCGTTGCACCACCCTTGAAGGGCGCACAATTCCAACCTCTGTGTCCTGCTCCACATTGACCTCTTCTTCAACGTTCTCTGGCTCTGCGTTGACCTCTTCCTCAACATTCGCTGGGTCACCCGCAGTGGTCGAAGTGATTGCCACCTCGGTTGCTGTGGTAGCTGCTGGTCGATCTGTAGCAGGTTCTTCGGCTCCACCATCATCACCTCCACCATCATCTCCATCGTCGCCCTCGTCCTCTTCAGGGATGACCTCCATGTCATTCTCAGAGGCCTCTTCCTCCGCAGTCTCGCTGCCATCTTCATGCAAACCATCTGCCACAGGCTCCAAGGCTTCACTGCCCTTTGCCTTGCCCTTCGCTGCGTAGTGGGCCTGCAGCTCGCCAGTAGTGGCTGGTTTGCCTTTTCCAAGTCGTGCTACCGAGGTGCGACTTTTACTGCTGCTGCTGCCAGCTTGGCCTGGGGTGGTGCCGCTTTCCGTCATCTCCTGAACATCCGCAGCGTAGTCCACCGCTGCTGTAGCTGCCTCCACCGCCAGAGCCACCTCATTGGAGTCCTCGCTGGTGACATTCACCTGGAAGAAGATTTTTTTTGTATAGGGGGCTTCTGTTAATGCAAAGGTTCCAAAAAAAATGGGATTTCAATTTGGGGATATTTGACTTAGTGGTATGCTATGGTTTTGTTCTATTTGTTTCTTTATCTTTGGTTTACTTGTTTTCAGCATTATTTTGCCCTATCTGTATCTCCTCTTTATTTCTTGGTTTCGAATCTGTTGTATTTTTCATTTCTTCTCTTACCTCATTCTGTTTCATTCTGATTTTTTTCTAGGGTTGAGTGTATATTATGTGTATATATAATATTAATTATATATATATACATAAAAACACACTATATATGTTGTTTGTATTCTGGATTGTTTTCTCTCATCCTTAGGCTTACTGCTATGATAAATTATGTTCTTTGCTCCTGTGTTCTTTGCTATATTTTGTGTTGCTTTCTGGTATTTTTATGTGCAATGTTTTTTTTATTTGTGCATATTTCTCTTATTTTGTTGTTTGGATTTGCATAACTACTAGTCGTTGGGTATCTTCATTTTTCCATGGTTGTAGTTGCTTTTTCTTTTGCACGTTCTAGGTTTGCGTGGCTTGGTTTGTTGTTTTGTTCGTTGATTTCTGGTGGTGTCTCTGTTTTTTAATGTCAAATTTCAATGCAATGCTGTTAAAATGTCGAGACTGTATGTATGTCTAACTGTCTGTCTATCTATCTATCTACCTATCTATCTATCTATCTATCTATCTGTCTACCTATTTATCTATCTACCTATCTATGCATGTAGGTATGTATGTATGTATGTATGTATGTATGTAGGTATGTATGTATGTATGTATGTATGTATGTATGTATGTAGGTATGTATGTATGTAGGTATGTATGTATGCATAATGTAATGTAATGTCATGTCATGTCATGTCATGCCATGTATGTAATGTATTATGTTTGCATGTATGCATGTATGCATGCATCATGTATCTGTATCTATGATGATGCTGGGGCACATGAGACTGCCATGGGTGTAGGGGAGATGGCAGCCGGAGCCAGCAGGGCGCAAGAGAGCCAAGTGAGGAGAAAGATCCTGGGTGGGTGGCGTAGGGAAGGGCAAAGCATTTGGGTGGAGCTGTAAGAATGATAAGAATGTTCAAGAGTAAGAATGTTCAAGATGTGGTGGGCCCAGACAAGTGCCTGTTTGTTTGCCCTAAACCTTGTTTTCTTTTTTGTAGGGGGTACCCATTGCAGCTATGGCAGGGCCAGGGCTGGGGGGAGGGAGGGCGATTCTCTTGGAGAATGGGGAGTGGGGGCTGTATGTAGGGAGATGGGCACAGTTGCATTGGGCTGGGGTCGCCGGGCCTGTTCACGCAGCAGCTGCTCAAAGCAAGCAGGCAAGCAAGGAGTCAAGAGTGGAGATGTGGAGATGTGGCATTTCCAATTGGGGGGTCGGTTCTGTTTCCACCCTGCACAGCAAAGAGGCTAAAGATAGCAAAGTCTTGTTTTATTTTTGGTTTTTGGACTGGGTTCACCTGGGTTTTTCCAGGGAAAAGTGGTTTTAGGCACACCGGTTCTGTTTCCACCCTTATTTCAGAACCGCATTTCGGAACCGGTCTTGGCCCCATTTTTGCAGGGGTTTCGGGTAAAAGTCTTGTTTCGCGCGGTGAGGCACCACCAAAAGTCTGGTTTCTGGTTTTCTGGTTTTTGGGGCGTTCTTTAGCTAATCATAGGGTATATGTTCAATCTGTTTATGGTTGGACTATGATGTTGCAAGATTCGAACTGAACCATATTCAACACCATGAATCTCACCATCGATGAAATTATGATGTTTGCCCGTGGGGGGGCAGGACGGGCAAAAAAAAAACACACACAGACAGACAACATGTTTGCCTATATTTGCAAAACAGCAACAATAACCACCACCACAACAACAACATCAACAACAGGCATATGGTTCAAAATAACAGAGTAGTTTAGTGACTCCTGTGCTTGTCAACGCCCTTCAGCCAGGCCATGCCGGGCAGGGTCTACCTGGTTCAATTGCGGTGGTTGTCCAATGGACCTCTTTGTGCTCATTGCCTTCGATTGCTGGAAAGAAGGGTTGGAAGAAATGAACGCCAAGAATCAGACACACAGACATGAAGTAGTTTAAATGGCCACCGTAGTTCTGGCACAAGCAAGCAGAAAAAGTGACTCTCACTTTCCGGTCCTGTGAGTCTCAGTGCAGCATGGCAGACAAGGCAGACCAACTTGGAGCCATCTTGACTGTGTTGCTGACCCATGGCGATTCAGAGACTGAGGGGAAGATTGCGACCTTGGAAGCAAACCTCAACAAGTGGTCAGAGGCTTTGGGGCACGATGTTCTGGAATACTTCACTTGGCCCCTTCCACCAGGAGCCATCCAGGAGAATGGGAACGTGAAGGTCCGTGAGGAGGCGTACTTGAACCAACAGCTGAGCATTTTTCCCTTTCTGGCTGGTCAGTTCAGGGTGAAAGCCTTTGACAAGTTGAAGGAGGAGATTCACAAGTCAGAGAAGGGCTTGGCTTGGAAGATCCATGTGATTGACCAGGTGAACCGTACGCTTATGGAGAGCGATTGTGGATTGCTTGCACCTATCGCCAATGAGATTTGGATTGCCACTCCAATGTATCCACATGACGTGGTCCGCAAATGGCGTGGGCCATTCAGCCTCCATGAAGATGGAATGTCCTTCCAGTACAACGTTACCGGGGTCTACTTGCAGCCAGCATTCAC